TCCGTATTCGGCCCAAATCCTTCTCCATGTGCCCCGCCTGCAATTCCGTTTTATGTTTGCCCTCCAATCCTTTTGGCCAATTCATTTATTTCAATTGTTGCCGGAGCTTCCGCTGTTGCCGACAAAGGCGTAGTCAACTATATGGCATAATAAGCACTTTTTATTCTGGGCGCATTGTGAGCTCGGCATTTTTATTGTTTCCGCGGGCTCTGGCTCTCATATTGACTGTGGGTTTACAGTGGGGTAAGCACCTAGATTACGGAATAAAAATTCAAGTTGGGTTAAAAGGTTGCTATAAAAATAAGTCACAAGAGAACGCTAGTGATTTAAATTGCTGTTTTGCAATGGTAAAACATTTCTTTACTAGTAATTGAGAAGAAATTTTATTGTAATTGATTTTTATTTCCAACAGGTAATGAAACGGCTTTTAAAACTATCAAGCCCACTGCAGTTAATAAAATAATAAACAAACCGTTAATGAAGTGGGATTTCACGTGCTTTATTAAATGTATTTTACTTAAAATACCGATACAATATCATGGATGTTTAATCCTTGTATTTTTCACGTTTTAACTTTTGCTAATTGCTTACATCAAATAATTAAATTGCTTTCAAATATTAAAAAATGTTTTGAAATATTTGTATTTTAAGCCCCTTGTAGGGGCCTTCTGTTCCGCTCCGCCCACATCCTTTTCCAAATGGGCGTGGCCGATGTTGCGCGCTTATTTGCCGACTTTCAAACCCGTTCTAAAGTTTGCCAACATTCGTTTCATTTTACAACCCGAAACGAATAAAACAAAGCAAAGTTCCCAACTTTTTGCCGCCGACTTTTTGTTTAGTCCTTGAATGACATCGTTGTCTCCGTACTTATTTTTATGTGCCAGCGCCAGCCGATTGACGCTCCGCCTGCGAGGTAAGCAGGTGGTAGGTGGTGCCCGAAATTTACTTACCAAGTACTTATTTGCCTATTTCGAATGCCATTTGTATGAAGGCCAACGGTGCGGGCCCAAGTCCCCCAAGAAATGTAATAAAATAAGCCTCGACTTGGCAGCTGCATAAACAAATACCTGATAAAGATAGCTGGAGGAGCTGAAGCTGGGAAAAGCGGGAAGCTCTTTGTTGAGTCTGGTCCACTCTGGACCGGGGCCATTTGAATGTATTTGCATAAAATAAAAATGTTGCAGCAGCATTAGCGGGACCCGTTACACATTGGGACAATCAGCGACCCACTTACGCGTGCTCCGGTATTTTTTATTAAATTTTATGATTATGTTTTGCATAATTTTCCTTTTTTTTTTTTGTTAGCTTCTCAGGAATTAGGAGAGGTATGCACGCCAGGGGAACAAAAAGCCCTTGGCATTCGGTGGGGCTCCCAAGATCCGGCCAAATACTTTTGGCAAGCTACCGAAGTTCGTCAAGTGGAAGGCTTTGATTTAGATGTAGACAAATTCGCTTAATGCGCCCGAATCCAGGCTCTTTAACAATTTCCGCCTGCCGGGCACAAAGACCTTAAACAGAAGTCGACAGCCGAACGATATTTACGGCACCCCGGGGACTTTGGAAATCGTAGCCAGAATAGACCAGCAAAAAAAAAAACAGCCGCCAAAGTTCACAGCACGACCGCACAAAACTCAAATGCGACAATTAATTTCAGTGAATTATGACCGCAGAGTGGAAAATGGCGCTAATGTGACGGCTTTGCCAATTTGCTGTTTTCTGTTTGCTCTCTGCAGTTTTGGCCAGGACCAAAAACACGAACAGCTGTCAGGGCATCCGTTTTTGGTGGAAAGAGCCATGACTTTGTGTCCGGCAAACTTTTTGGGAGGTACGGCGCGACCGCAGACCGAAAAAGATAGTCGACGCGAGGACGGTTCCCTGGCGGGTCGTTTGCCATATGACAGCTAGAAACCGAACCTGAAACCGAACACGCTGCGTATACGCGATACGCAATACGCCATGCGCGATTGCAGCCAGCCTTCGAAGCTGTCAGAGCCAGGCCAATCTGGGCTTAGAGACGGTGTCGATCTGTGTCACCATAATTCATAGCCAAACATTTCAGCACCGCGGCTCCAGCTCCTGTTCCTGCTTCTGCTCCTGAACCTCGCACCATTGTTCGATGCACGTGCCCGGCCACACAAAAGGATGAAAGCTGGATAACAGAAAAAGCACGCAAAAACGCAACAAAATGGCAGCCGGAATGGAGGAAAAACACGCGGAAGTCGCGAGCTTAGCAAGCTGAAAATGCTCGTAAAGTACAATGAACCGCAGAATCTGGCATGCGAAATGGGTGAGAAGTCGTTGCTAGATGCTGGGATGCTGGGATGCCAGGATGTGGGTGAGGTTGAGTGGATTTCTGCCAGCGAAACGACTGCTTGTGTCTCGACAAAAGAGAAGAGGCGTTAGTTTTAGTTTACGCCAGTATCCAAGAAGCACAAAGTACACAGTCTTCCTGAAATCGATTATTATATTAAAAAACTACATAAACATTTTTAAATTTTTTTTTCTTTTTTTTCATATTCGATTTTTATTAGACTTAATACTTTTTTTAATTTTCGATTTGTTCCATACTGGTCTTAACTTAACGGAAGAAAAATTTATTTTTTTCCTCTTTTAAGCACAGTTTTGTCTGTCTTTGATTTAATGCAAATTTTAATATTTTTCAAGAAATGGCTTTTGTTTATTTTGGAATAACCAAAAGCAACAGGATCCTTTAGCTTTGTTCTTACACCTAAGATTACAATATATATTGCAAAAAAAAATGAAAGCTTTTTCTCTTTATTAACTTTATATATTTTGACCTGTTTTCAATCCTTAAAACTTTCAACCAACCCAAGGCTTTTGATTTAAAGGACCCCTCTTAACCATATGAATACTTGAATGAGACCGATGCTACAAGTTTGAATGCAACTAACTTAAATTAATGTGCTTCAGTTCCTTGTTAATGGAGTTGATTCAATTTTGTAATGCTCTGAAGCAGAAATGGTATTTAGTAAAGCGGGTACCGGATATTTTCTAGTCATGATCAGGACACTCCACAGCAGCACTTTCAGTTGCATTCTGGCTTTTCCGCTGCACTTGACACCATTTATTCCCCCGTGAGTGACACCGCCAAAAGAGTGACAGATGAGTGAGGAGGCATGGAGCTGGGATTACCGATTCCTGCATTTTATTCCCGCTCTTAATTCGGTGACAACAATGGAGAACCCCGGACCGCAGAGTCGCTAACCGTGGACGCATTTAGTAAATTTAGTGTTGTTCTCGCGACAGAAGGTTTTCAGTTCTTTGAAGTAGGCATAGGGCTCGAAATCATCGATGATGTTCCTCTGAAAACCGATATGATCTTGGAAAAATGGATAAGAATTTACAGAGTAAGCCCCAATCAAACTGATTGAGTAACACATGCCCTGCGACACTTAAAAATGTAGGGGATTTCAATTTGTTGTTCCATTTGACTTGGAAATAAATAGAAAACCAAATTACGCTGATAACATTGCCAAATGGCCAAGTCAAAACCAAGTTAGTCTAATTATGTTGAAGTAAAGGCTAAAATGGGTCACAAAAAGTCGACAATCTTGGCAACTATAAACAAATCAGGCTTCGGAAACTTTCTGCCACCCGCTTTGGGTGCAAAAGTTGTTGGCGCCCGCAGTTTGAAAAGTTTTCCATTCAATTCACTTAAGACACTTTTCGCCCTTCGCGTTTGCATTTTGATGCGGCAACCATTCTCCCTACCATTTTCCACAAACTCGTACCACGATGGTCCCGTTTACGGTGAACTTTTCCTGGCACGGCCAGAGGCGAAACCCGGCAGACCGCCGACCAACGGAGTCGTTGCAGCTAATGGTGTTTATTGCATTTACTGCCCGACTGCCACTTAAATCGGCGACACTGTGGGCAGGTGGTGGTCTGCCAGGTGGGCATGGTCTCCCAGGGGAGGAGTATCAACACCTGCAGCTACGCAAATATCCCGCAGGCGGCAGAACAAGCACAACGGACGTTGGACGATATACTCCAGGCAGAGTGCTCCTGCTCCTCCACCAACCAGCTGCCTTCTCCGCTCGTGTGGAAGAAAGTGCAAAGTAAATGCACAACACAAAGTCTACCTGGCGCCACCGCCTCTATTGAACAGGTGAACAAGAAGGGGGCGTGCCAAGTGCGGTGGCAGGACAAAGGACGAAGGCAGCCACAACTGCGGGTGCAGCCAAGAGGGCAACTCACCAGCACCACCGAGCTGTTGTGGCACAGATTTGGCTGACGCAAAGTTTGATTAAATCACATGACAGGAAGGAGTACGAAAGGAGGAGGCTTGTGGCACAAGGATTTAAGTGGCCTGGCATCAGTGCACAGGGAAATATTCAAATTCAAATCGTTTGAATGGAACAAAAGTTGTAAGTTATGTTTCAAACTTCTTCATAAAGCCATTATAAATGTGTATAAGCAGGAAACGTACAAATTATAGGTGTTAAAATAAAAATCACTATCTATAAGTTATATTTTAACGAAAAAAATTATGTAATCAATAATTTTTGAGCGATATTTTTTTGATCAAACAATTTAAATTGATAGTTTTGTTAGTTTATTAAGTTAAACAAGACAAACCATAAAATCGCTTTGAAAAATCAATTGCTTGTTTATTTCATAAGAAAATGTAAAATATTTAATTCGTCTTGATTCGCCTTATAAGCTAAGATAACTGTATTTTTTAGAAATGCTTAAAAATTAATTGCAATTTTTTTTAAATTAAAAAATTATTATTTACGGTTCTTGGTAATAAATTCCAAATATTTGAAACAAATATTGTGATCGAGACTTCAAACCGTGAAATTTAAGTATATTTTAAATTTAATAACGGCTACTTACTTGTATAATAACAATAAAGAATGGTCTAATAAGACTAATTTATAAGCCGAATTAAAAGTTCATTACATCTAGCATTAAATGTTTCAGTTTGATTCGTAAGGAAAATAATATTTTAATAATTAGAAAAAACGCAACTTTTATTAAACAATTTCGAGGGCGAATAAACTTATATTTCGATTTTCAGTGCAGTACCACAGAGCCAATGAGCCACTGGCTGCGGGCGTCGGGAAAGTAAATAAATTCATTAAACGTTTAGAGCTCGCCAGGTGGGTCCGGTTGCCTTTTGTGCCGGGCAAAGAATTCAGTTACCCGGATTAAGTGGATTATCATTCAGCAAGCTGCATTGTCCCACAATCTCAGGGGCTCTCGGGCGAATATATAGTAGTAGTCTTGCTTTAAAACGCGATTCTAAGACAGGAATTTTGGGGGTCTTTCAGCCGACTTACGAGTTCCAATCACTTGAAATTTAAACGGGTCCAGGGGGAACAGCATGGGAATCGGAGGGTAGAACCTTCGTTCGTCAACAGGCACGTACAAACAGATACGGATAGGCAAACGGTAACGCGTACGGATACGGATACATATACAGATACGGATACAGATACAAACGGGAAACGGCTACGTTTAAGAGGATGGGGAAAACTACTCGACTGGGGGCGTGCTGAGCACCAGTTCCCAGGGATCGGGCTTGTCCCCCCCGGAGGCGGGCGGCTCATCGGAGCGCGGGCTGTGGCAGCGGTTGCACTTCTCCCGGTACCAAAAGTTCAGATTGAAGCAGAAGCCGCAGGGCCAATCGTCCTTGCGTGGCCGCCAGCTACGGGCGCCATCCGCTCCTCCAGATCCTGTCGATGTACCCTGTCCAGAGGCGGACACCTTGGTGGCCTGACACCTGTTGCAGCTGGAGCGCCACACGAAGTTGCTGTTCCGGCAGAGCGTGCACACCCAGTTGTCGCTGGCCGGCTTCCATTTCAGCGCCCGCTGGCGACGCTGCCGCTCCGGAGAGTTCAGCTCCCGCGGATAGTTGAAGCGGAGGCTGCCCTGACGGGTGGACAGGTAGGCCGGCAGCACAGTGAGCACCTGCCCCATGAACTTGGCCCCGCTCAGACAACTGATGGCCGCCTGGGCCGAGAATGGGCTCACGTAGGTGATGGTGGCCTCACCCTTCGAACGGCCCGTCTGCTTGTTCTTGTAGACAAAGATCTTGGGCTTCTGGGAGGCCTCGTCCATTTTGATGAGGCCCAGCCTGCCGAAGTACGTGATGATGTCGTTCTTGGTGACGTTCAGGCGCATTCCCAGCACAAAAACGGTGTCCGGCTGGATGACGTACTGCTCCTGGCCGACAATCATGTAGGGGCTGTGCCGGGGCAGCGGCAGGCGGGGCATGAAGTCGGCGGCCGTGCGCGGGAACACCATGTAGGATGTGCTGCCACCGCCCATGCTGGGTATGTAGGCCCCCACCTCCCTGTTTTCCTCCTGCTCCTCCTCCTCGTCGTCCACCTCCTCGTCCCCCCTTTCGGTCATCATATCACTCCGCTCGGCCATCTGCTCCTCTACATTTCCCTTCAAGGACTCCACCGCCGCAGTTGAGGTACTGGCCACCGGCAAAGAGGTCTCCTCGCCACCGCAGAGGTCATCATCGTCCTGGCCCAGCATCAAAGAGCCACTGGCATCACCACTGCCGTCCTCGAAGCGGTAGAGATCACTGTAGCCGGTGCGGGGACTGAGCCCCGAGGAACCTACACCTGGAGGCGCATTGATCCCAGATGATCCTAGTCCGAGTCCGGAAACTGGTGCCGAACCGACCACATGGCTGGCATGGAAGATTTGGTGCTGATGCTGCTGCGACTGAGGCTGCTGGTTGTCGGAGTAATTTGGAGCGTAGAAGGGATTGGAGTACATCATGCTGGCTGCGGTGACATCCATCGCAGGTATAACTACTTGTTAAACTCCTGGTTGTGGGGGCCTTTACTGCTGATTAAACACGAACCGATTCCTTTGTAATAATAAAAACTACTGAGATCTTTGATAACATCCAAGAGACTAGAAGTAAAAAAATGAACTGAGTTCCGTCCCCTAGTTTTCCTGAAAGTTGGCCCAGCCGCCTACTAAGCAGTCAATTTTTGTTTAAGGAAACCGTTTAAAAGTTTCACAAATGTTTGAATTTATTAACATAACAATATTGCATTCATTTGAATTTTAAATAAATATTTGAATTCTTTCTTCTTTAATTTAAATACGCTCATGAAAATAATCCAACGAAGTAACAATCACAATGTGGACGGACATGTATAAAAACCAAACATCAACAATCCGGTCACAAAAGAAAGTTGATTAAAAATACCATCAGTGCTGCATTAATTTGATTCAATTATGTGGAATTCGTTTTGCGATAGCGTATTAAAAACCGCAGTAAAGATTTAATAATACTATTAAGGTAATTGAAATTAGTTTTATCCTCAGCTTTTGATGGATTTGAATCTGACCTATTTTTGCCAACGGTGGCTTATAGCCACCTGGAGAGAACTATGCAAATTTTCGTAATTGGCGGCTAACACTGCAGTATGGACCTGGGAGCGCTTCACACCCAACCACTTGTGCAGTTCATTGATGACTTTGCACTTCGCTTGCCATCCACAGTTTATTGATTCATCATTTTTGCGCAGTTTCAATTTAATCAGCAATGTCTGATTACATTTCCACAGTAAAGTCACTGCTTAAGCGGCTTAAATCAATTTAAGAGATTCCTGCTGATTCGAGACTTAGGCTCTTATTAATTGGGACCAAGAGTCAAAGTCAAACGAAGTCAATCAAGCTGGCCGACACTCATCAAGCCAATTAGCTGCCAATTACCCCACTAATGACCGACCCCATTAACCCTACAAAGGCCCCCCAAAAACAGGCAGCAGAATAATGCCCTGGAACTCTCCGGTGTGGACACGGAAGACATGTTTATTAATATCTCGGACTCAGACCCGGACACGGACCCGGACCCGGACCGTGACAAACGGAACTGGCCCGTTTGTCGCCTGCTCGCACACCATTTTCACCCGCAATTCGCTTTTATGGCCGCCACTTTACGACCAAGTCCGCTGACCCTATCGCCCGATACTGCGATTCCGGAATCCGGTGTCCTGAAGGGAAGCCCGGCTTCATTAGCAGTCCTCGCCGGGGTGTCAATTTCATCAAGATGAAGGGGGCACTGGCCAGCGCTCAACGCTCATTAGGTCAGCTTTATTTTCTGCCAACTAACTTTTACTTTAACCCGTCAAAGTGACCCCTAGAAGGAAAAGTACCAAAGTACCAAAGCTGCAACCAACCGACACCGACACGAAATTAAAAATCAACTGTCTTGAAGGAAACGCAACAAGGGGGCCCCGGCGAAATGGAAACTGTTGCTAGAAAAGTTATTATTCCGTTGGAAACTTTGTGCGCTCATAAAAATCGAGACAGGCTAAATTGTCTTGCAGCATAATTGCACAAAAGTTTGACTCCAAAGCTCGTCCGTAATTGAGAAGACAAAAGCGCAGCAGAGGAATTGGCCTGGAACACAAGGAGCAGTGGGACATGGCCAGAATGATGGGATGATGGGATGACGGGATGACGGGATGACGGGATGAGTCTTCTTCATCGGCATCCTCATTGCACACACTGCAGCAGCTTCCATGTTGTCTTTCGTTCTGTTTGGAGCCAAGGAACAGCTAATGAATTGGCTGCCAGACGAGGCAAAGCAAACACGCAGCACAGCACAGCTCAGCAATCTTCCTGAATAAACTGACACGAATCGGAAGGTGCATTGGATATCGAGTTCAACCCCTCGAGTGAAGTACCCCGACCAATAGTCCAATTAATGGAGTCGCACGAGCGGAGATGGAAATCAATATTCATAAAGTGCAATTCACATTTAATTGAGACGGATTGCTTACATTAATTATAATCTGCCTCTGGATGGATGCAATTAAGGTGTAAACTGACCTTACACCATACTGCATTTACTGGGAATTTAAAGACACAGCATCTTAATCTTCTAGCTGATATCTTTAACTACATTTAAAAGCAATCTAAATATGCATGCCAAGACAAAAAATGCCGGAGAGATTTATTCTTAATTTTCTATTTGAATAAAGTTTCCGTTTTCAAACTGTACAACGCCTGCAAAGCCGCCAAAAAGGAGGAAAAGAAGGTCATCAATCTCTCCTGGCCTCCATATACGCCCAATGGCAACCGGTGGCCCAAAGAGCGCTTCCAGTTGCTGGTGACCCTCGCCCGATTGCGCCGCTATGGCATGGATGATGCTTTACTAAAGATGGACCTTTAAGTGTAACTCGAGGACCGCAGCAAGTACACCGTGGTGATCCAAAAACCCTGAGATAGGGGGTAACGAGAGTATCGAGAGAGAGAGTAGAATCATATTTGTTTTTTTAATGAATTTAACATCATATAAATTTGCATGCTAGCACAAGCAATTTATTTTAAAATTTGCAATTATAACAAGATTAATTTTTGTGCTCAGTTGCAATAATTAATTATATTTTTTGAACTATTATTTATTATTTACCATTTACAGGCCAAAATCAAAAATTATATTTTCTTTAGCATATTCATACTCAGGTGGTAAACTTTTGTGGCCAAGCTGGTCCGTCTCATACGGTTTTCCGCGAATAATTTGAGCATGGACGAAGCAAAGCGAGTTCCCAGCCTTTTCTGTGGCCCTATGCAGCTGGCACACAGGCACAAAATAACAAGCAATAAAACGTGTACGTGTCTAAATTTTAATATGGTTTCAGTCCGCACATCCAGTTGAAATGTTCATGTACATTCCCCTGCATTTGTGGAATGTTGAATGTAGGATGTGGATTGTGGGTGGGTGTTTGCTAGTCCCTGTTTATTTGACTTGCTACTTATTTATTACGCAGCATAATGAAATTTCACGTAATCCTCATTAAAGCCAGAACAAAGACTCCAAAGGACTTGGGGGTTCGGGTAAACAACTTCAAGGCTTCCATGTGTACATTTGCACATTCAAATCTCAGTCATGACTCAATTTCAGCGAAAATACATAGCAGAGAGGTCGTCGAAGGAGCCGCCCACTCTCCATTCACACACAGATTATCGACATTTGAAGCACAGAAGCAGACACAAAAGCCAGTCAGACGTCTCCATCGCCCACACGTCCAACACAAATAAATCAGACAATGCATATAAATCTAAATTGTATCGCATTGTGGCCCCTCAACTGCCTTATTGGCAAATTGGCGGAGCCAAGGGATTGGCATTGGCCTTTGTGTACCAAGCTTCCTGGCTCCTTCGAGCACCTGAATCGAGTATCCGAGTATCCGAGTATCCGAGTATCCGAGTATTGGGTACCGGTTCGATTGGCTGCCACGTTGATTTCCCATCGATTTTGGCTGCAGCAAATTTACCCTTCTTTTTTTCTGCGGTTTCTATTGTGCTGACAGCGCAATTATCTGTGAAGTGTACTGAAAGCTGAAATTTCAGCACTCACTCAACAGGATTCAAAGTTCCAATTCCAAGGGGGGGAAGGGGGGATTGCAGTGCTTAAGCCCCTTAAACAGAAGAGATTCTTCAGCATACTAGGCACGTTTGTGTAAACTCCACGACCAGTTCGACAAACTGTTCCGGCTGGTCCTCGTACACACAGTGTCCTGCGTCCAGGATCTGCACCACTGTATTGGGGAAGTACCTCTGCATCACGGCGATGCTGGACGAGGTCACGAACTCCGACTGGGAGCCGGCGATGAGGAGCACTTCGCCCATGAAGGGACTCAGTCCGCCCAGGGTGGACTCGTAGTTTATCATCAGTTCCGCCCAGGAACCGAGAACCGCCCGCGGATTCACTGCCCAGCCAAAGGTGTCGTCCTGCATCTTGCGCAGATTGTCGACCACTCTCCGCAGCTCGGACACGTCGTGCACCACGTCCTGGAACAGCGGCAGGATGAACAAGCGTCCCTCGGAGAGTGATAGATTCGGCGGAATGGTGGGCGCCACCTGAAGCATCATCTCGAACACCTGCCGCGTGAGATAGAAGTTGCTGGGCACCGGTGCCGGAGTAATGTCCACCAGGATGACCCGCTCCACTAGCTGTGGCTGGGTGAGGGCCAGCGTCATCATCGCCCGACCGCCCATTCCGTGTCCGAGTGCCACGATCTTGCTGAGGCCCTGGTGGGACATCAAGGCCTGCACATCGGCGGCCAGGTGCATCGGCGAGTGGCCAGATGTGTGGGGACTTATTCCATGGTTCCGGGCATCCACTGTGATCACCTGGCGCAGACCCTCCTGACTCAGGTTGCTCGCCACATGGCGCCAGGACTCCAGTGAAAGGTTGAGGTCGTGCATCACCACGATCGGAGGCGCCTCCATCTGGTTGCGTGGCGTGCTGTACGAAACGTACTCCAGTCGGGTGCTCTGGACGAACGACGAGTGGTAGTTGCACAGCGCCTGAGCTCTAGAAAGGATTGAGCTGAGGATTCGCCCTCTTGCCATGATTACGGAAAATTTGGAATGCCTTGCCTCCTCTGCCGGGAACTACACTCAAAATGTGAACTTTACTAGTTGATTTTGTCAAGTATTTTTAAACTGCTTTCGCTTCTACACAAAACGGAAAAATTTCGAGGGGCTCTTTTGTTACATTTATTCTTAAACTTTTTGGTAAGACAAGTTCAGTTTTAGCTGTTGCTATTACCACGTACTTTTGATAAGAAAAAAACCAAATTAAAAACAACATAGACTTTCCTATTCCTTTTTTTTCTAATGTTATACAGCTAATACAAAAAATAACATTTATTCAATTAAGTAATAAGCATTTCCTTAGCAATTGTGGCCTTTTATAGAATGAACTACTTAAATTAACACTAAAATTTATAGATTCAATTAAGGGTTTTAAATTTTAAGAATTCAGTTCATAATTTCTTTTGGTAATAAAAGAAACATTTTTAATTTCAGTCATCGAACAGCTGGAGGTATACCTGGGGATATCACGAATACGCCCCGTTGAACCGTCTCAGCAGCATTGTTAAGTATTAGTCGTAATCCACTGGGGCTAATGCCTCGTTTAACGCTCCGGAGTCTAAATGCTTTCATGTCCCTTACAGTTGCGGCTGCCAGTACAAATCCCCAAATTGCGTAATAAATAAAATGCATTTGCGTGGAAAATTAGGAAATGGCAGAGAGCACTGTGAGTTGGGGGGGAACAAATTCAAATTTCCACATTTTCATATTCTTACATTTCTACGTTTTTACATTTTCATAATGTAAACTGGCTGGGCTTGCCATCACAGAGGGCATAAATCATGGCGAGTGCTCAGACGCAGACACAAACAAATCGCCTCAGACATTACTTGTTACTTGAATTCCCTTTTGCTTGCACAAATCGAAAGATTACTAAGGAGTTTGTTTGTTCTTTAAAACCGCGCCAACGGACCCCATCGGATGGCTGGAAACGAAATGAATGCAAATTTCTCAACTATTTTTACTCAGAATCTTCTGCCTTTGAACTTCGACTCGATTTGGCCACCAAAATGGAACACTCTATCTCCGCTTGATCCAGCAGTATCCAAGGCACTTCATATCCAATTTCAGGCTATTGACACAATGAAGCACCCTTGAGTAGTACTCCGCTAGCGCAGAAGAACATAAAACAAACTAAAGAAATAAAATGGAAACCTCATTTGAAGTCATAAAAACGAACTTTCGAATGCAAACCGAAAGTTGAAGTCATGTTCACCCCTTTTCCAATCAGCTACATTGAAAAGTTTAGCGACAATGAAATCCCCGAATGCTGAATTGGAGCCCCCCGAATCAGACCCCGAAATGCCCATCAAAGGTTTACCTCAGTCTGTCAGCGCATTCCATTCTGAGCCTCGGACGCTGTCCTATTGCCACGTCGCTAAATACCTGACAAGATTGGGGGAATGCCTTTTATCTCCATAGCAGCACAAGCTCGTCGAGATTGGGAGCGGAAAGCCGGTAAATTTATCCGCGCAGGTGCCCTGAACTCCCATTCAGCAGGAGAGCTGAATGCAAAATAGGATTCTCGGAGAAGCACTTATAAACAAAAACAAATGCATGCAACAGATAGGAACTTTAAAGACAAGTTGATTGGCTTTAAAATGATAAAAAGCTTACACAAGAATTAAATAAAAAGGGTAATGGTGACATCTACAATATCTACAATTTTAAAACCTTTTTGAATCCATAATGGAATTGTCTAAATCACATAGTGTTTACCGGTTAATTTAATTTTCAACGGTTCGTGTCATGGATGACATGGGAACACTTTCAGTAGCCAAGATTACAACCACGAGCTTGTAACCGTTTCGCAGGTTTAACGATTGAGTAAGAATTTACAAGCAGGACTTTTGAATTTCGAAGTTGTTTTTTCCCTAATATTAAAACCATGGAAGAATGAAGTATTTATACTTCTTGTATGTAAAAAAATAATAGTTATGACTCTCTTAGTTTGCATGGAAATCGGTTTCAAAACCGTAAAAGAGTTTTAAAAAACAAAACAATACTTTTTTAATTTTTATAGATTTGTTATTTGACCTATACCATGGCCTTCCTTTTATTTAATACGCAAGGTTCTCTTTTCATTGGCTTATAAGATAAAACCTGTATCTTAAACTCACACTGTAAATTAAAAAATTATTTTAAAAGTACACCCAAAAAATATTGTCCTTATCCATTGTTAATTTTAAACTATTGGGTATGAAAAATTTGTCAATAAGATTAAGTAAATACCACGAAAGTATCAAACAAATAAATTTGGCTTAAAAGTAAGCCCCTAGGCTAAATTAAACAAAAAAGTATAAAGTATACCGTACATAAACGGAAATAATTTATCTTTGAAAATTTTCTCTGCTGTTTTACCTATTACTTTTTTTAAGAATTTAAATACCCTGTAATTAAAAGTTCCTCTTCCACAGTTCTTTTTTAAACGCCGGAACACCCGAAAACGCCTTAGCAACCCTCAGTCATGGACAGCCAATCGAAACGCGCCAAACTGTTGCCAATCCAAAATGGCCTCCAAGCAGATGCTGCTGTCCGCCGGGGAGGAAAATCCAATAAGGAAAATACGGAGCCGGACCGAGCTGACTTCGCAGTCCGTAAGGACAATCAGAATTTATTGCAACGCAGTCTTCCAAGCAGAACAGACCCAAGGTCTTCCCATTGCAGTAGCTATCCGATTTGGCAGTCGACCGTTAAGAGTTATGCAGCATCCGCATCCCAGTGACCAGCCCACCTACATGCCGGAGGTTCCGTTCCAGCCCCTTTGGGGTCAGGAAGCCCCACCGCCGCCCATAGTGCCATACCAGGAGCTCATTGCCGGATTTCCCTGCTCCGATTTGTGTGAGCATCTCAGAAGGATATATCTTGGAAAAACATTTATAATATTATATCCATTTTTACAGCTCTGTGGCAGCGCTCGCAAGTAACTCCCCTGGTGGCCCAGCGTCCGTCAACAAATGGAAGGGCCAACGGCTCGTCCAGCTCCTCGAAGAAAACCCGTCGCCGAGTGGCCTCGATGGCCCAAAGGAGAGCTGCAAATATCCGCGAACGCCGACGGATGTTTAACCTGAACGAGGCGTTCGATAAACTGCGCCGAAAAGTGCCCACCTTCGCCTACGAGAAGCGACTGTCCCGCATCGAAACCCTTCGCCTGGCCATCACCTACATCGGATTCATGGCGGAGCTGCTCAGCGGCACGCCCTCGAATTCCCACAAGTCCCGCTCGGACGTCTATGGCAGCATGAACGGACACCATCAGGCGCCACCGCCGGCGATCCATCCTCACCACTTGCATCCGGCGGCAGCCTATCAACGCGACTTTGCGTCGCCCTACAATCACAGTTTGACCTAGAAAGGTTAGTCGGGACACCAAATAATGTAATACGGTTATTATAATATTAACTTCAAATTGATTTGGCAATATTGTTTTTCTGTGACTCAAATAACCTACAAACTTCCATATTCCTTGTCAGAAAAATTTATGTTTAATAATTGTAAATATAATTAAAAAGAGAATGTTTGTTTAAAAAACAAAATTAAATACTTCTTATTAATACCAAAAGTGTGAACAGTTTTTGGGGAAAATTGTAAATATTTGTGAGTGTATTTATGTATACATAAAAACCACATTTATGTTATTTCGCTTAAAATAAATAAAAAGAGTTTTTTATTACCGGAATTCATTCATAATAAGTATAAACATACAAGGATCCGCAAAAGGTTGGCGAAAAATCTAACACAGAACAAATTAGTTGCGTAAAATCAAAAATCAATCGTTCGGATACGACTGAGAAGCATTTGAAAGTTGATTTGAAAGATAATCTAATATGGTAAATTAAATGTTAAACAAATTAGTAGTCTAAATTTGGTGGTGGTTTAACAGTCAAAGGAACCACAAAAATACACCTGATAATCCCCTTAAACACAACCCGCACTTGTTTTGGAATAAAAAACTTGGGCCAAACCAAAGCGAACCATGTCGTAATTTGCGTGCGAATCTGTGCAGCTGCTGGAGGGGAACACATGTCCACGACCACTCGGTGGCCTCAATGAAGTCACATTGCATACGGAGCAGGAAGGTTTGCTAAGCGGAACCCGGAAAAAGAACAAAAACTATTATACAAAATTTGACAAGGCAAACAAAGCGTGAAATTATTATTAATAAATTGAAGCAATCGCGAAGCAATTGTAGCAACCCCTAACCAACGACAACCCAGGAACAAGTGTAACACTTGAGGGATTGCCCGTTCCCGGCTAAATACCAAGGAATTTTTGCGTTCAACGCCCATTGCCAGCAGATTAGCGCCCCTCGTCCGGAGACCAAATTAATTTGGAACGGATATTGCACGGACATCGGGTGCGGAAGTCGGAAAGTGAGCTGCTACCTGAGGGTTGACTTCGCCCCTTGTTGCTGATGTTTTGCTAGTTTGGTGTACAATATGTTTTGATGGATTTGTGACACTTCATGCCGCATTAGATCGCTTTAACCCTAGGGGTTGCTCGCCAAAGTGCCTTCACGTGTCAGCGATTAGCGCATCAGTAAAGTCCTGGCTATCTTTGCTTATACATATAAGCCTTGATCTTAACTCCTTACGTTGATCTTTCCGTCACCTGTGGTGTGGGAAATTAGCTTAGTCTATTAAAATGTTTTATTTAGACCCTGCCACGTGTGCTATGCAAACTTTTTCCCATAGAGAGTCACCATACTCATCCATCGACTGAGATTGACTACCCGGATCCCTCTCCTTACCCATTGTATGTCAAATCGCTATGACAAATGAATTGAATTTTGTTACCATTTTTGGCATTTTTCGTAGTTTTTCGACACTTTTTCCGGGCTGAATTAGGGCAAAATCCAATATATATTAGGTCATGATAGATGGGATTTAGCAGCAAATATAGCAGATGTTTTCAGAGCTACTTAACAGTTCTCAGTTTGTGCGAATTAGAATTGTACTCTAATTGACTTATCTAAGGTAACTTGAAAACCAACAATCATGTTTGCCTGACTTCGTAAATTTCAATCATATAGCCTACATGCCCTATCTACGCACTTATCGATTCTTGTGTACAGCGATAGGAAAAGTATTTTCTGGGTTTTCTTAGTTGCCATAAAGTTGCCGGGCCAAGTTTAGTTGTCCGTTGATAGAAGTGAGAAGAATGTCGAACCCGATTCTAGTAACGCAGCTTTCTCAAGACGTCTCTTTGCCAAATTGGCTGGATCAGCAGGAACTCGAACAGTTGGTTAGGCAAGAGATTCCGGAGTTTAGAAAAATCGAGAGCTTGCGTAGTAAATGGGAGGTTCAACTGTCCCAGCCCGCTGTCTGCGTTCAGCTTCACGTGCTCGTGGCAGGTAAGAACTTAGAATAATATTAAATAAGTTTATCAATTAACAATAATCTGGGCACAGAAAACAAGAAACGCCAAGTGAATTACCTAGTCAAGTCCGAAGAATCGGTCTCCGTTGGGTTAAAAGTACCCATTAAAGGGGATTTCCAATCGGAGCGTCACATGCACGAGACCGTACTGCCTGCCCTGGAAGAGCTCTATGGAAATGCGGACAAAAGGATTCACTTTAGTCCGTCAATCTTCAAGACCACACAGAAATCTAAGCAAATTTATTTAGACTACGTCCTAAACAAGGGCTATGCCGTGGCCAATAGCCTCAAAGGCTTGTCCGTAACCGCCATGATGGGAGTTCTTTCCAAACTGGCTGCCTATCACGCCGGGACAGCTTGCTATATAGAGAGGAATCCCGGCAAGATAAGAGAACTTCCAAAGCTCGGAGACCTGTCGAAATTAGGTGAACAGGGTGACGAACTCAAGGGCTTGTATCAAATGCGATTTCACGAGAGCCTACGATCGAACAATGCCAGGGAGTACGAAGATAAGGTGGTAAGTACTGTGAACTTTTAGATACGCTTTTAGTTAATTCAAAAATTCGTAGAAATCATTTCAAAGGTATGTGAAAGCTAATGCAGACATTGTGGATTTGAGAAACTCCTTCAATGTTATACTAAATGGATCCTGCTGGCCAAATAATGTGCTCATTCAAGTCGATGCCTTTGGGAATGTAAAGGATGCGCTCTTCAGCGCCTTTAACGCAGCTAAATATGGTCCAGCTGTCTACGATCTTTTCAGTATACTTCTCACAGCGCCGGCTGAAAAATCTAGCAGATTTGACGGCTTCGTAAAGTACTATCACGATAAATTGATTGAAAATCTAAACCTTCTAAAGTTCCGAGGAAAGAAGCCCAGTCTCACGGATCTTCAATTGGACTTGCTAAAATATGGTCACTGGGGTAGGTCAGAAAAATATAGTTGCCTAATCGGAAACTAATTGTACTTTAAACAGCTTTCGAGTCTGCCACGGAAATCCTACCGATAATGCTCTCGGATTTTGCCAGCAACGACATTGATGAGCTCTTTAGGAATCCTGTGTTCGGGGAGCAAATTAGAGAATTACTGCCCTGGTTGGAGAATCGTGGATACTTTGAAGAAGACTAGACACTGTTACGCAGCATATAAATAAATAAAATACATATTTACCAGCTTAAAGAATCACCTGAATATTAACTTAGATAAGATAAACGATGAATGCACAATTTGTAGGGTACTTTAATAGTAGATGTGAGGATAGGCAACAAATGAAAGCACTCATCTGAATAAAAAAGCTTTAGGGGGATCATCATTTTGTTTGGTTGTGGGGAGAAGAAATTTGATAAGAGGGAGATAAACTAACGCGCATTTTGCAAGTCACTGTCGCAAAAAAAAGTCACCGTAATTGTGAACATACAAAAAATAGCTCAAACCTGATCATCACCGTTCAAGCAGTAAGAACAACTGTTAGACTTGGGCATTAATGACTGATTAGGTTTTTTTGTTCTTAGATCACAGGTCCACCCTGATCGAAAAGCATTCCCACGCGTCGGTCTTTAATCAACAAACGAAATTGAGCAAAAGCTTTTGAAGTGGAAAGCTCTCAGTCATTGGACCAATATAAGCCAGCCGCACAGAAAGTGGCGCAAATTACGGATCCAACAGGTAGACAGAATGGTTCAGGGCAAAGAAAACATCTCCAAGGACAAGCTGCCGGCTTGGTTGGATCAGCAGATGTTCGTGGAGTTTCTAGATCGCGATTTCCCGAATCTTAAAACGATCAAGTCGTACAGATTGGAACCCTCAGCCGGAAAAGGGGAGAACTACACATCGTTACTTCTAAGGGCAAATTTCGAACTGGAACTAGATGGTAAGTTAATATAGATTAACAATAAAGTTAAGAGTTAGGTAAACAATTTGAAATGATTATCCATAAACAAACAGTAACTATATTGAATGTTAACTCTTGAATGTTAACTTAACTTTACTGATTTTTTATTTAAATTAAATTGACTTTCTAGATATTTTGTTTATATTTTAGATGGCTCCTTAGAGAGTATCTCCTACATGGTTAAGCTTTTGCCCAATTCCGAAAACCGTGATAATGTAGCCACGTGGAAGGTTTTCGACAAGGAGCGCACAACATATGGAGAATATATTCCGGAATTCGAGCGGATGTACAAAGGGGCCGGAAGAGATATTACCTTTGGACCACAATACTATGAATCAAAGACTGCACTGGAAGAGGAGCTTATCGTGCTGGAGGATCTGAAGAGGAGGGGGTTCGTCAATGTTAACCGCCACAATGGCCTGGACATGCTGCACACTGAGGCCACTTTGGAGAAACTGGCACAATTCCATGCGGCCTCCGCCGTGCGATTTGAGCTCAAGGGAGCCTATCCTGCCATCTACAACCGTAACCTGTGCAGCGAAGAGGACGGCTTTAAGGACTTTCGTGATACTCAAATGAAGGCCTTCGTCGAAGCGCTTCCACTGTACGATGCCTCTTATCTGGCCAAGTCTGTGGTGAGTATCTTAAAATAAAACCCAAACTAGAAAGCATAAGTACTGAGCACTTATATTCAACAGGAATCCTTTGGCAGTCAAGCGGAGGACATGTTCCAGGCCACTGCTCCCCAGATCGAAGGCGAGTTCCGTGTGCTGAATCACGGTGATGCCTGGTGCAACAACTTCATGTACAAGTACGATGAGGCCGGAAAGCTGATCGAAACGTACTTCGTGGACCTGCAGATGAGTCGGTTCTCGTCACCTGCCCAGGATTTGCTTTACTTTATCCTATCCTCCACCCAAGTGGACATAAAGATAGCACAATTTGATTACCTAATCAAGTACTACCATGAGAAGCTCACTGAGAGCCTTAAGCTACTGAAGTATTTAAAACCACTGCCCACGCTGAGGAGTCTACATCAGTCGATCTTCACCCACGCAGATTGGAGTGAGTTAAGAAAATAATTTAAATTATAATCTAATCCACTTTCCTTGCGCAACAGTTCCGACCATTGTGACCGTTCTCCTGCCAGTTGTCCTGGTCGAGGCCAGTGATGATGCCAATATGGACAGCTTGATGGACAGCGAAGCCAGTGGAGCAAAGTTCCGCAACAATATGTTCAAGAACCCCCGCATAATTCGACACCAAAAGGAGATACTTCCCTGGGCCCATCGTCGAGGCGCCTTCGAAGTCAGCAATTAAATGTTAAAACTGTTGATACTTTTTAGTAAGTAAATAAAGACAATGCTATTATCAGTTCATAAACTTTATCTCTGATTTGTACTTAAAGCTTGAGCGTTAGGTTTATCAGTTGAATGGCTGTTATCACTGAGTTTTTGCTCGATCACAGTGAGTCACACCCACTCAATGAAATGTTTAAAATCGCTTACATCGTTAGAGCGAAAATTGTCGACGATAATGAAATAATTAAATTATATCAACACCGATTTGAGCGGCATAGCTAGGAGAAAGCTTTGGACGGCACACATCAGTTCACAGCCGTTCTCGCAATTGAACGGACGTACGAAATTCGGGAGCTCCAGTTCACGATGGGTCTGCGTAGTTCCAAGTCAAAAAAGAGCTATGAAGTGGTCGTTGCCAGCACTCAGAATCAGAAAAAGGCCTCGATGAAAAGTTCTCGGTCAACTAATACGAAAATTGAGGGGTCACCCACTCAATCTGAGCGACCAAACCCTAGCTCGGTAATAGAGGAGAGCAATTTGAAACCTAAGTGGCTCAATGAAACGCTATTCGAGGCATTACTCACCGCGAATGTCGCTCAGTTCTCAAAGATAGTGGGTTTTCGGGTAACACCCGCCATGGCCCCTGGAGAGAACTATGCCACTCTGATGCTGAGGATCAGCATAGATGTGGAGCTAATTGGTGAGTTAGCTGAGTTTTCGGCAAAAAAGGAAGTACTTGACCAAATGCACAATCTTGCCTTTCTAGAAAAGGCCATAGAAAAAGGATTATATTCGTGTCGCTTGGCGATAAGTAGTATCTCAACTTTATTTATGATCAGTGCACAATAAATGCCTGCTGTTTGGGTCATTTTTTAATAACAAGTGCATGTCACCTAATAATTAACCTGCAACCAGCTGAACGGAAATGCCAATCTGGTGATATAGTAAACATAGCAAGTAACCAAATTTTGTTTTATTTTAACCCATTTGCCAGACAAGAGCACCAAACTGGTCTCCTTCATGATGAAGGTACCACACAAAACGCCCCAAATGGAACAGTTGCTGGCCATGGCCAACTTTTTCAATAGCGAGAATGCAGTGTACTCGGATATTTTGCCAAAATTGGAGGAGCTTTACAAGGTCAAGGGGCTGGACATCACCTTCGCACCCAAAGCATTTCAACTGGACTCCAAAAAAGAACCCAACTTGGCCAACACAGTGCTCATGAATGACATGGGCCAGGATGGCTTCAAGAACTTAAATCGCCTGGAATGCCTAAACTTGGAACAAACTAAGTTTGCACTGAAAAAAATGGCCCAATTTCATGCGGCATCTGCCATGAATGCGCAGGTGAATGGACCCTATGCAGATATGTATGTGAATGGAGCCTTCGGTGGAAACAAAGAGGTTTTGATGGCATTTTTCGAAGGAATGATTTCCTCCTTCCGATTAGCTTTTATGGCCAACCTGAAGAACTTTGATAACGGCGAAGAATTCCGTGAAAAGCTGGTATGCCTCTACTTTACATATTCAAAAGCAAAGCACTTAACAAATCTAATTCTGTTTTAAGGAATCGGCATTCTCGCAAATCACTTTAGACTTGGAACATCTAATGAAAGTCGATCCCACTGAGTTCAATGTACTGAACCATGGTGACTGCTGGATGAACAACCTGCTGTTCAAGGTCGACTCTAAGGGCGAAGTGGAAGACATGGTGTTTGTCGACTTCCAGAACCCCAAATACGGCTCTCCCACTCAGGACTTGTTCTATCTATTAATCACCTCGGTGCACATAGACTACAAGCTGGATTACTTTGACTTCTTCATCAAGCACTACCACGAACAGTTGACCAAGCACTTGGATATTTTGGGTTACAACGGTAAACGGCCCTCGCTGAGGGAGCTCCACATGCAGATGTACAAGAACGGAAGTTGGGCCCTGTTCCCCTCAATAAGTGTGCTGCCCGTAGTGCTCCTGGATCCAAATGAGTCGGCCACGTTTGAGAATTTCCTTGGCGACACCGAGACAGGCGCCAAATTCAAGAACCTCTTGTATGCCAACAAGCGCTACAAGGGCTACATCGAAAAGATTCTACCCTGGTTGGACAATAGAGGTTTCTTGGAGGGCTAGTAAGTTCAAGGCATATTCTGACAGGTGCGATTGGCATTTGGTTTAATTATTTTTCCTTTCAGCACTCAGCCCACGCCAACTGAAACAGCTTTATTGGATCATTGCGTAAATCCCAACCAGATTCTAGACTGGCTAAGTGTAAGCGACTTTGAAGAGATCATTTCCTCCAACGAACCCCAGTTTCAGAAGATTGTGAGCGGTGCTTGGAGTTCGGCCACGAAGGCAGGTGACAACTTCGCCTCCAAGCTTTTAAAGATTGATATACAAGCACAACTCAGAGGTGAGTAAATCAAAACAAGGCAGAAATATAAACTATCACTGGTATGCTCAACAGATAAAAGTGTCAAGACCTACTCCTACATACTGAAAGTGCAACCACCGAAAACCACTGACAACTTCATCGACCTTAATATGTTTCCCAAGGAAATGGAGATGTATCGCAAACATGTGCCAGCCTTCGAGAAACTCTATAAGGAGGCAGGCTTGACGGTCACTTTTAGCCCAAAGTCCTTCGTGCTTAGTAAACCTGTGAAGGAAGAATATCTCTTAATGGAGAATCTTCAGACAAATGGCTTCAAAATGGCTGATCGCATGAAGGGATTGGACATGGAGCACACAAAGAGCTCACTCAAGAAACTGGCCCAATGGCATGCGGCTTCCATCAAGTACAAGGAACTCAATGGATCCTACTCCCCTCTGTATAACGATGGAATTTATATTGAGCAGACGAGGGATCTGTACCATAATATGTTTGCCCAGGCCAAGTACACGTATATTGATATATTTGGAAAGTTAAAGGGCGCCGGGGAATATCTGCATAAGCTGGTAATATTTATTTCTTTACATAAGCCTCCGAAATTGCCAAGTTTTTGACTTTGAAATTATTCTATAAATAGTCACGTATTTTGGACAACCATGTAGACCAGGTCATCGAAGATGCCAAAATCAATGAGGCAGAGTTTAATGTACTTAATCATGGCGATGCCTGGATAAACAACATTATGTTTCAATACGACTCTGAGGGGAAACTGAGGGAAACCGCGTTGCTTGATCACCAGAATGCGAAATACGGCAACCCAGCTCAAGATCTTTACTATTTCCTAATGAGCTCTGCAGAGCTTGCAATCAAGGTCGATAAGTTTGATTATCTGATCAAGTGGTATCATGAAAATCTAGTGGAGCACGCGATTTTGTTGAAATACAACGGATTTGTACCCTCCCTAAGTGAACTGCACTCTATTTTGTTAGAACATCCAGCTTTTGGTACGTTGGTTTGGAAAAATAATAACCATTTTTGGTGTAATATAATTGTATTTTTGCAGCTGTTGGCACAGTGATCAGTACCCTAACCGTTTGCCTGAATCAGGCCGATGAGACCTTAAATCCTGAAGCATTTTTCCTCGAAACGCCGGAATCGGAAGCCTTTAGACGGCAGCTACTTGGTAACGAGCGTTACAAGGCCCATATTGAGCGGGTTTTCCCTTGGCTCGCTAGAAGAGGTCTACTTGAGCCTTAAAAACACTATTCAAAATGTGATACGATTTACGAAAGGAGTCTTCCGTTGGACAATTACACCGAGAAAATAAGCAAATAAAACAAACTTTGGCTTAAATTATTTACCATTTTGTTGATATTGATCAAATAAAGTTAAAGAAAAATAATAATTATTCTTGTTACCTTTAAAAGCGTGTAAAATTAGAAAAGCTGATTAAATAACGAGGTTTGCTTGAGATTAGGAGTGTATAACTAGAGAGCCCAGTCGTGTGGCAAACATCAGTTCACCGTCGATCGCCCATTTGAACGGACGCGAAACGCAAGTTGCGACTTATATTTCTTGATACTCAAAAACAAAGATCTAAACGATGGGTCAACGATCGTCAAAAGCAAAGCGGACCTATGGAGTGGAAACTTCGGGGTCTGAAAAGCAGTCAAAGCCAACGGCTAGGGTGAACTCTGATCCACCTGCTGTACCCACCAAGTCGGAACCAGAGGTTGATCGAAGCAATTTGCTGCCCAAGTGGCTGAATGAATCGCAATTTGAGGAATTACTTGTAGCGAACATACCAAAGTTTTCAAAGATAGTGAATTTCCAAGCGAAACCCGCCATGTCCCCCGGAGAAAACTATGCCACACTTATGTTGAGGATCAGCATAAATGTGGAGCTAACTGGTGAGTCAATGAGATGGGTTACTTCGATACCATTTATAGCACTAAGTCGACACAATCTTGCCCAATTTCTTCGTGTGGGCCTGCGATAAGTAATCACAATTCATTTATAGTCCAATTATTGATTGTTTGACTGCTCACAATGACAAAGCTGATTTTACGCTTACTGCCTTCCACTTACGTAACGTCATAAGAATGTAAGGAAATAGTAATTTAATAAGGTAACTTCATTATTTTTGCCAGACAAGAGTAACAAACTGGTCTCCTTCATGATGAAGGTTCCTCATGACACTCCCCAAATGGATCAGATGCTGGCTATGGCAAATTTCTTTACCCTCGAGAACGCAGCCTATATTGACATCCTGCCGAAAATGGAGGAGCTGTATAAGGCCAAGGGCCTGGACATCGCCTTCGCTCCACGAGCATTCAAACTGGACTCCACAAAGGAGCCCAAGCTGGCCAACACGGTGTTAATGGACGATCTCGGCCAAAGTGGATTCAAGAACTTGAACCGATTTGAAGGCCTTAAGTTGGAGCAAGCTAAATTTGCTATACAAAAACTGGCCCAGTTTCATGCAGCCGGTGCCACGATGGTCCAGGTGCACGGACCATATTCTGATTTATTCCTGTTCGGCATGATGGGAAATAACTTGAATGTTATAAAGGCGTTCATTGAAGGAATGTTGGGATCTTTTCGAACGGCATTCTTGGCCAATCTGGACAAGCTTAAGGACGGAGAAGCCTATCGTGAATCGCTTGTAAGTTCTTGATTTATTTATTTAATTCTAATTTTAATTTGAAATTTAATTCCATAGGAAAAAGTTCTTGCTGGCCTCACTACGGAATTCATGAAGATCGCCACCATAGATCCCACTGAGTTTAATGTGCTAAATCACGGCGACTGCTGGATTAATAATCTGCTGTTCAAGGTGGACTCCAAGGGGGAAGTGGAAGACATGGTGTTTGTCGATTTCCAGAACCCTAAATACGGCACTCCCGTCACGGATCTGCTCTACTTGATCATGACTTCGGTGCACATCGACATTAAGCTGGATTACTTTGACTTTTTCATCAGGCACTACCACGAACAACTGACCAAGCACTTGGATATTTTGGGATTTACTGGCCGACAGCCCTTGCTGAGGGAGTTGCACATTAAGATATTCAAACACGGCCCATGGGCCTTGTTCCCAACCATTTCTGTGCTGCCAGTGGTGCTTTTGGACCCCAACGAGTCGGCGACCTTTGATAATTTCATGGCTGACACCGAAGCAGGTGCTAACTTCAAAAATTCTCTGTACGCCAACAAGCGATATCAGGGATACATTGAACGGATTTTGCCGTGGCTGAAAAATCGCGGTTTTCTGGAAGCCAGGTAAATTCTGAAAAACCTTAATGAGAGCATTTAAATAAATGGTAATTTTTTTAGCCCTGACCCAATCCCAGCTCAGCCAACAATGGAACAACCAGAGCAACCGCAGCCTGAGAATCCCGATAAGATACTTGACTGGGTTAACATTACCGACTTCAAGGATATCATTTCCTCCACCGAACCAGAATTTGAGAAAATTGTGAGCGGCTCTTGGAAGTTGGCCACGAAACCTGGCGACAACTATGCTTCTAAACTGCTAAGGGTTGACATAGAGGCGCAGTTAAAAGGTTAGATTAATATAAGGGAACCAGAAGTATCTTAATCTTAGACCCTACTTTTACAGACAAAAGCTCCAAGTCCTTCTCGTACATCCTGAAAGTGAACACGGCCGATGACATGATCAATTTCTCCGACTTCAACCTGTTTCCCAAGGAGATCGAGGTGTACAGCACTTTTGTGCCCGGATTCGAGAAGCTTTACAAGGATGTTGGCGTGCCGGTCACATTTAGTGCCAAATCCTACCGCCTCAGCAAGGACGTCAGCGAAGAATATTTGATTTTCGATAACCTGCAAACAGCCGGCTTCAAGATGTGTGATCGCCTGAAGGGAATGGACATGGAACACAGCAAGTGCACTCTGAAAAAATTGGCCCAATGGCATGCAGCCTCTCTGAAGTACAAGGAAATCAATGGACCCTACCCTCCCAAGTACGCCAATGGCATCTTTACAGAGCAAACTGCCGATGTATTTAAGGGTATGTTTGCTCAATCCAAGGATTGCTTTCTGCATGTAGTGGGCAAGTTTGAAGGCGTTGATGAGTACCTGCACAAATTGGTAACAATTCTTAATTGTATTTTTGGTACTTTTGTAACCAACTCTTTTTCTGCAGCCAGCCATTATGGATTCCCATGTTGACAAAATAATTGAAGATGCCAAAGTAAATGAGAAAGAGTTCAATGTTCTTAATCATGGCGATGCTTGGATAAACAACGTAATGTTCCAATACGACTCAAAAGGCCATGTCAAGGAAACCTTTCTGCTAGATCACCAAGTCACTAAATACGGAAATCCAGCTCAGGATCTGTACTACTTCATAATGAGTTCCACTCAGCTGGACATTAAAGTCGATCAGTTTGACTATCTTATCCGATGGTACCATCAAAACTTAGAAGATCATGCCAAGTTGTTGAAGTTTAATGGATTTGTTCCCTCTCTAAATGAACTGCACGTAATTTTGCTAGAGCACCCCATTTATGGTAAGTTAAAAAAATAAAGGTTTTAAGTCTCTTTATTGATAAATGTATATATATTTTTTTAGCTGCTGGAACTGTGCTTAGCACCCTGACAGTTTGCCTGAACAAAACAGATGATAACTTCTCCTCCGACGTATTTTGCAAGGACGGTAAGGAAGCAGATCAGAGATTGCAGCTGTTCAGCAACGAACGTTACAAAGCCAATATAGAGCGCATTATGCCATGGTTAAACAGGAGGGGATTGCTTGATGCCTTTACCACCGAAAAATCCTCATAAATACCCTTAGACTGAAGCAATAAAAAACTTTTATAAACCACCTTTATATCGGAGTATTTACTGTTATAACAAACGAATAAGTAAATGTGTGATCACAATTCTAACCTAACAGAGGAAGCTAACACTATTTCCTCCCAAAGTGTCTTACTTCAATGCGAACTTTACGGCCAAAACAATACCAGAAACGAAGATCACAGCCAGAGCCAGCTTCCTTAGATTGGCACGATTTACGCCCTTAATTGTCCGCACTACTTCAATATTCAAGCGGAATACGTTGCGACTCTCTTCGATGAAAGCAGCACGCAGATCGTCGTCAAAAGCTCCGTAGTGATTGTTGAAAACGCGCCTGAGCTTGGCCTTTAAAACAGAGATCTGAAAATAAGGCAGTCAAAGTAAGTATAAGTTTATAAAGAATGTTCTTTATTAGGAATTGTCGTCAGTATCTCATTATTTATTATTAAGTATTAGAAAAAAAAAATAAAAAAATCGTTGCATTTTTTTTTAACGATCATAAATTGATTCACTTTACGTTTAAAAACAGTTCAACTATGTAGATCTTTAAATGAATTTTTCAATCGTTCCTATATATAATAGCTGTGAGATATATTTATTTAATTTTTATAAAATAAAAACCGTAACTGTTAAGGAGTAATTTAAACTTTTTTTTTTTTTCTTCTGTTTTTATTATGGAAGCTATATCGAACCGGATGGTTAAAACTTACATATATATTTATATACTACATGTAATAGAAAAGCCATTTGGAAAAGTTTAGTTCAGATAAATTTAAAACTGAGAGACCAGTTAGGGTAAAAACTAACGGACAGACGGACAAGACTATATCAACTCTTCCAGTGATGCTAAACAAGACTATATAAACCCTATACGGTTGGAAAAGTATAGTGCGTTGCAAACTTTTGACTGATGGGTATAATAAAGGAAACAAGATTTAAGACATGTACTTACCTTTTCGGGAAAGTAGGTTGCTTCACAGCCAGGGGGACAAATGGTGACTTGGGCGGGCATTGGCCTGGCCTGCAAGTCGTCCTTATTCAGAGCAGCATCGGCAGCCCTGGCGGTGGCCACCTCGGCCTCCTTGTCCGCCTGTTTCTGTTGCTCCTCGTCGTCGCTCTTGGAAAATATCCAGAGCTTGCGTGCAATCATGCGCTTCTTCTGCAGCATCTGTCCGCCGGACATCAGGGCCATGTACATCTGGTAGGAGTAGGCAAAGAGCAGCAGCTCGTTCTGGGCGGTTATCTTCTCCAGGTGCTCCAGATACTTTTGGACCGCCGGACGCGGTTCGTAGGAATCCCGCCAGCCGGAACCGTAGAAATAGTCGAAATCCCGCTCGAATGCAGCCGTCCTGTAGAATTCCTTGGGCAGCAGGCGCTCCGGCAAATGGGTCTCGAAGAATTTGTATAGCTCATAGAAGGCCAAAAGGCCATCGTACCACACCTCGTCATCCGAAAGGGCTACGACGAGAAGGGAACATAGGGTAACAAATAGTTATAGTTACTGCAACCATAGTTATCTACCAAGAGCGAACTTTGCATTAACCAGCACATCGGTAAGATTATGCACGTCTTTTGTGGCTTTACGCAACTCCTTTGTGAACGCCATGTCCACGAACTCCACATCTTCCACGTTCTCTGCAGCCTGGTTATCCACTGTTGCTTCCTCGGTCGTTGACATTTTGCTTATGCGCAGTACTTTAACAATTAATAAGCAAAATCTAAGGCATAGATATCACTACGTGATACTTGCAAAATAATACGCCGTCTTTGTTTTGAACTCCACTTCAGTGTGACCGGTTAAGGATATAGGAATATACTAAATACTACACATATATAATAAATATACTAAAAAGGGGTAGAAACAGTTGGTGATTTCAATGACTTCATCAGCTGGTCTTACTATTTGATTTGGGCTGTAGCTGCTTATTTTTATTTTGTTTAGTAAATTTAGAAAAACCTAAGTATAAGAGAACAGTGTTTAAAGCGCAATAATTGTAAGTGTGGGGCAACGAGATCCTTGCCAAGAGAAATGCTGGCAAATTTAATTTAAGTTAGCACGAAAAACGCCTAACATTTAAGCTAACACATGAAATTGACGAACTATTCTTTCACTTTCATTTCGCTTGCAATTAAACACACAGGCAGAGAAAGCAGGGCGACACACAACAAAAACAACAAGTACAATAACGCTTTTGGCTTTGGTTCTGCACTCTTAAACCTATCAACCCACCAACCTTTCTTTCCAATCCCCCCAATCCAATCCAACCCAACCCGCCTGCCCACCCACTTGATTTGACTTTGAAGAAACCCAAAAGCAATGTCGGATCTCTTTACCACTTTCGATAGCAACGGCGACGCCGAGCACCACCCGCACCACCACAACCACAACTCCACATCGTCCGGCAGCGGGCACCACCACGACCCACCCATGGCCTCGCCCTCCCAGCACAGTCCGATGACCAACAACAGCAACTCATCCTCGCAGAACGGCGGCCCGGTTTCCGGTTTGGCCACGGGCATAGGCACCCCATCTGGTGGTAGCAAGACATCCAATCACACAGCATCCGCCGCCGGCTCCGAGAACACCCCCGTAAGCTGCATGGTTATTGGAAGTACCACTGCACCGAATTCCTCTAATCACAGATATATCCCTTTCAGATGCTCACCAAGCCACGTCTCACGGAACTAGTGCGGGAGGTGGACACCACCACGCAGCTGGACGAGGATGTCGAGGAGCTGCTCCTCCAGATAATCGACGACTTTGTCGAGGACACCGTGAAGTCAACTAGCGCCTTTGCCAAGCACCGCAAGTCCAACAAGATCGAGGTGCGCGACGTCCAGTTGCACCTCGAGCGCAAGTACAACATGTGGATACCCGGCTTCGGAACGGACGAACTGCGTCCCTACAAGCGGGCCGCCGTCACGGAGGCGCACAAACAGCGCCTGGCCCTCATCCGGAAGACGATCAAAAAGTACTAGGATCGCAGGCTGGAGGATCGGAACGAGGCTTGGTGTCGGTTTGCCGGATTTCGTGTACGCTACCCGCACATGCCACAAACTATTTTAAGCTCCAATGTAGACTAAAGAACAAATTTACCCCGTTCTATCGTAGATGTAAAAAAATAAATGTACACAGTTGATTTTACATTCAACAATTGGGCGCCGTGAGCAGCAAATGTAAAGCCGTGATCTCCAATAAAACACTATTGCAAAGGGTCTTATCAAAGATTTCCAAAAAAAAATGTATTCGAGAAAATGGTCGGAATCCACTCCACATTACAGTTGGAGTGAGTTCAGTAGTTGTGATTTTGCAAAGAAATTACTGTTGCTGAACGCACCCATTGTACAGTATTTTTAGTTAGTATTTTTCTACTATTGCGAAATTGGCATTTTTCATTTCGCACCTCAATGTCATACCATCAATAATGTTGATTTTCTGATTGTTGATTTGAATATACTTAAAAAGGCTTTTAATTGGCCAAAAAACTGAGGTGCTCGCCATGAAGCTGCCGGTGATTTGTCGCACCTGCGACTCCACCGACACCGACAACCTCCTTAAGCTGGCCACGCCCTCAAAAAAGTATCCGGACAAGCTGCTCTCGGAGATCCTGTGCGAGCTGACCGAAATCAATGTAAACAAAGTTCGGAAAATAAGTTAAGCGGATAGCCTTTATCATTTTAATTACTTGCAGATGGATGCAACCGAGAGCCAGAAACTGCCGGAGTGTTTGTGTAGCGGCTGCACCAAGAAATTGATGGGTGCCTATTGCTATGTGAAGCAGGCGCTGGCCGCCCACGAATTGCTGATGAAGCATCTGAAGAACGGAGCTGCTGCATCGACCACCGACTGCTTGCAGGAGGCGCCCATGGAGCTGTGTGCCGAACAGCACGTGGAGGTCAAGCTGGAGACCGAGGACGAGGACTGTGGCGACAACGATGTCAGCATTGCTTGCTCCGAACTGCCGGAACCGGACGAAATGGATGTGGAGAGCAAGAAGTCCGTGGATCCTCTGACCATGATTGAGACGGTGAAGCTGGAAACAGGACCGCAGAGCATGGGAAAACCAACGGATGACGAACCTGCCTCGGACTTCGATGACGAGGAGTGGGTAACAAATGAATATATGCCAGCTCCTCTAACTTAACCACCAACTGTTGCAGCTCCCTGGATAACCTGCCCCTGTATAAGCGCATTCAAAAGTGGAAGATGGGCAGGAAGTCTGTATTGAAATGCCAGGACTGCCCGAGAAAATTCAAACGAGTCGAGTTTCTTAAACGCCATGAAAACCGCGTCCACAAGGCGGAAACACGCTCGTTCGCATGCTCCCTCTGCATTCGCAAGTTCAGCCGCAGCGAAGCTCTTGAGGCTCACCTGAAAGTCCATCGAAACTCGAAGCGATCGGCAAACATAAGCGAGCACAAGAAGGCCAAGGCGGTAGATCTGAATCTGTGTAAACCGCATGGCTACAAACTAATCGAGTGCATGATCTGCCAGAGCCAGTACAACAAGATTGCCGATCTGCGGCGCCATTTGGAGGAGCACCCCGAGATAGTCAGCCTTTGCGGTCGACCAAATGCGGAGCCTCACGAGCTGTTTTATCCCGACTGCAAGGACCTGGACGAGGAGCAGTTGATCAACTTGATTCGAAAGGATCTGGCGGCGGGCATTTACCAGCGTTTCTATTCGATAACCAACCAGAGTGGCTACGAAATGGACCTGGACAGTTCGGAGACGGATAGCGATCTGGACGGAGATCCCGAGGATCAGCAAAAGAGGCGAAAGAAGAGCCACAAGAGCAGCTACAGCTGCGAGCTATGCCAGCAAAAATTCCCGCGGAAATATCAGTTATACGACCACCAGCGACAGGCCCACAGTTGGTCAGAGGCTCCTCATGTCTGCGGGCGGTGTGATGGACGCTTCGTGAGTCTGCAGCTGCTGCGGCACCACAACGAGTCCCAGTGCCGAAATGCGCAAAAGCGTTTCCTTTGCCACAAATGCCCGCTTCGCTTTCGCTGGAAACACAACCTGAAAACACATTTCCGCGAGCACAGGATCACAGTAAGTTATTCTATAACAAAGAAAATGTGCAACACACAATTTCAAATGCCTTTTACAGAATCAAACCTTTGAGTGTCCAGAGTGCAAGCGGGTCTTTGACAAAAAGAAATCGCTTACCGTTCACCTGCTCAGCGTTCATGCCGAGGAATCTAAACTGATCCCCTGCCAGTGGTGTAGTCGCAAGTTCTACCGCCGCGACTACCTGGTTAAGCACCTGAAGCGGCACGGCCTTAGGGAGCAAGACATTCCGCTGGCCGAGACTCTGATAGCGGCCACCTCGCGGCCAAACGGAGCGAAGCGCATCACCTGCCGGATGTGCAATCTGCACTTTGAGCGCATCGTGGATCTGCGAGCCCACATCCAGCTGGAGCTAAAGCTGTCCCTGTCGTTGCACCAGAGCTACGACTCCCTGCACAATTACTCGATTACAAACGAGTCCGGGTTCGAGCTGCAGCTGGAGGACTCGGAGACGGAAGACGAGATGCAGCCGGGCGGTGGAAGTCGTCCCGTTTATATCTGCGAGCTGTGCAGCGTGCAGTGCAAGCGGAAATTCGAAATGATCCAGCATCAGCGGACGATGCACCGCTTCGACAAAATGCCACACGAATGCGAGGACTGCATATTCAAGTGTGTGTCCAAGGTGGGTTACTTTTGCTTAGTAATGTGGAATAAATTACTTAATTCTTGATGTTTTCAGAGCATCATGGATCACCATCGGCAGGGTCAGTGTAGCAGTTCAGAAAAGAAGCATCAGTGCAGCAAGTGCTCCTACAAATTCATGTGGCCCGATAATCTGGAGCAGCACGTTTTACTGCAGCACAGCGAATCCTCGGCCAGCAAACTTACGGGCGCCAGGTGCTCGACTGGCACGGGTGACCTGGACAAGGATGCCGCCGAGGATGGCGTGCCGCTGCTGCAGTGCCCACATTGTGATCGCACCTATCAGATGAAGTCGCGCCTGAACAACCACATCCGCGATGTTCATGTTAACGGTGACCGCAAGCGCAAGGAGGCGGTCAAGCGTTTCCTCTGCTCCCTTTGCGGCATGGAGACCCAATCCGCTGCAGCTTTGGTGACCCATATGCGACGACACACCGGCGAGAAGCCCTACAAATGCGATCTGTGCGAGATGGCCTTCCCCCGGCACTCGGAGCTGGCCTCGCATCGTCGAATGCACACCGGCGAGAAGCCATTCCACTGCACCGTCTGCGGCAAGGACTTTGCCCGCTCCGACAAGCTCAAAAGACATATGCTCACCCACAGCGGTCTGAAGCCGCACAAGTGCACGTACTGCGAGAAAAGTTACCGCCAGGCCAAGGATCTGAAGCTCCACCTGCAGCAGCACACCGGCGAATGTCCTTTCGTATGCGGCACCTGCGGCGAGCGTTTCATCCAGAGCAGCACGCTGGAGAAGCACCGGCTGATGCGACGCCACTTCGACGAGGTGGAGGCGTGGTTGAGGCGCCAAAAATAGGGGGCTTCTGCAATAAATAAAGTTTGGTCTAGTATAAAAGAATGGCATTGTTTATTCTATAGGTGCTTTAGAAAAATTAAAATGAAACAAATAGAGATTAGTTGTTGGCCACACAAGCAAGCATAGAATGGTTGTTTAAGATTACTTTAGAAATAAGGAAGAGTATGAACATTATCTGAGAATTCAATTTTTAAGACTCCAGTTGCTAGCAAACTTTGGATTTAGTACAATGGAATGATTCAGGAATTAGTTTATTCTACAGTTCCTCAGATCCAGAACGTTCTATTTTGACCAGTTCCACATCAAAGATGAGCACCGCATTGGGAGGAATCTTTCCGCCACCCGCTCCACTTGCTCCGTACCCCAGTTCCGGGGGAATCGTTAGCTTCCGCTGCTCGCCCTCGCACATTCCCAGGAGTCCCTGGTCCCAGCCCTTGATCACCTGCCGGGCGCCCAGGGTGAAGGAGAAGGGAGTGCCACGGGAGTAGCTGCTGTCGAACTCGGTTCCATCCTGCAGCGAGCCCTAGAAGGTTTCCAAATTCGGGGTTAGGTTGGATGACCGGCGAGGAATCTTTCACTCTTTACCTTATAGTGCACATGGACCAGGTCTCCGCTTTTGGCCTTCCGGGTGCAGTTCTCCACGCGCTTCTTGACGCCGATCTTTACCTTGGGCTCGCTGGCCACAGAGGCAGCAACAAAAGCGCAGATTAGGAATAAGTAAGTCAATTTCATCTTGTCACGAGAAAACACCAAATAAATCTGAAGTGCGGTGTGACCGTAAAGACAACTTTTAAAGAAGCTACTCCGATTGGGTATTAAAAGCAAATCATGTATGGTCACACTAAACGTTAACCCGCCACATTTAAAACTCCAAATATCAATGCTGAACAAATGGTTTCTTGTAATTCACAATAATATGAGTACAGAACAGCTTGGTGTATACTTACAAATAACTTACGTACATTAAAGCTCGTTTAAAATAGATACATACATAGATCGATTACATGTTTGACTTTCTTAAAATACGGAGAGCTTCAAATATTTCACATTCGTTCCGGATAGTATGGCACCCGGAATTCGAATGCGACAGTGCAAAAACAAAAATTGACATTATAAATATGCAACAGATTATCCAGGAGATATACGAATGTACGATTATATCACAATAATAAAGGAATACATACAATTTAAATGATATTTAAAGCCCGACAAATAATGACGCTCAATAAGGTGCCAACATTCAAGCGTAATACTAAGTTACACTAATATTTCGTTTAAAATATAGCTATTATTGTTTCTTAGGGTCCCACGGATCAGTGCTGGAAAGGTGACTCAATCGCAAATTCGGTTTCCACTCGATGGGAGCCTCCCGCAAAGGACAGGCCTTCAGTTGTCGTTGGACAGATTTGTGATCTTGGCCGCATACATGCTGGCCACCTTGTAGATAAATTCATACTGCTCCTTGGTCTGCACGGCACTGGCCCTTCCCCGTCGTACATAGTAGACCAGCTGTGGGATGTCCACGGACCGCTTAGGGGTCTCCAGACTGCGGATGGCCATGTCCGACGCGATAATGGTACCGGTTCGTCCCGTGCCTGGAGAACAGTGAACGGTTAGCGGTCTAGAGGGAGAAACGGAGAAGGAAAGACACAAAACATTAAAAAGCCATGCAAGACACAACTGCATTAATATACAAATAACCTAGATACGTAAGCAACACAAATTTTATTTTTTACAAGAATTGATCATAAAAATAATGTTTCTTTGAGAAATTATGACTATATTGCTAAGTACTTCCGTGATTTCAATATTTATAATTACTTTGGGAAAAATATATAAATTATCTAAAAATTAAACTTTATGACCTCTTTTGTAAGTACATTTTGCGTGTGGCATAATGGCATGAAACATGGATATTTTTGTTCTAAACAGACACAATTATCTATTATCTAGTTGCCAAATGTATGTATCTCGCGGATAAGAGATATCTGAATTGGGTGTACGGTAACTTACCCCTGCTGGTTTCTAGTACCACTCCGGCTGGAAATGTTTCCATTAATCTCGTTGCTGGATGTGCTGCCCGCCTCGGCCTTGCTGCCGTCCGCATCCATTGAGGTCTCCAGCGTGGCGGTCTTCTCCCGCAATTCGCTGGCCTGCTCCAGGCAATAGGTCTTGAGCGAGGAGCGCGCCTCCAGGAGCATGGCGATGATGGGCGCCTCCTCGGCGGGCACACCCGCCTCCGGCCACTTGTACCAGTAGTGGGTCAGCTCGCGGTTCTCCTCGCCGTCCACCCGCTTCAGGATCAGTGTGGAGATGGCGTACCGGTCCTTTACCTCGCGGTGCTTCAGCGTCACCTGGTAGTCGCCGTAGCTGCTGTGGTTATCCAACGTAGCTGAGGGTGGCAGGTACTCGGCGCACTTCTCGATCCCATTCTCGCTGAGATCCGTCGCCTGAATGATCACGCGCGACTGCTGCTCCCAGATCATGCGCCAGAAATCGGTGGTTGTGCTCTCCAGCGGCGCCTGGCAGGCTATGTAGTAATTGGGCGCATCTCGGGGGCCCTGAACAAAGTGAACAAAATGTTAAAATATATATAGTAAACTTGAACAACAAAGTTAAAGTTTTAAGTTTATAAACTCTTTTGATAATAACATTTGGTGGCAAACAATTGTTATTGGAATTTCATAAGAAAGGCCATGCCCTTTTAATTTCAAATAAACTCGCGTGAGTAATGACATAACCATTAATTAAAACTTGTTGCGGCTTAACTGTCCCTCTGCCCACACAATGACTGGCGATGAGCTTTGCGCGCGTCTCAGATAAACGACCATAAAATCGTACAACAGACTTCTGCTGCTTAAATCTCGACGTGCCCAGGTTATCGCCAGGGGCAATGCCGATCGACGCTCGAAATGTTTCGCTTCAATGCACCGCAATGCATCGTCCACGTCACGCTTTAATGCATTTGCTTAAAATGCGTTTTAGTAAACAAGTTAAAACATACAAGTTGATGAAACCATGTCCTGTGCACAGAAAACATTTCTTAAATGTATTTGTTTGATTTATTATTTAATTTATAATATACAGTTTTATCAATTTATTAGATAATCGGATGAGTTTATCAAAAAAAGTAAAATAAACTCAGGCTAAATAATAGAAAATTTAACAATTATCTAATTTTAAGCTTCAGCAACTTTTATATGTTAAAATGTATCGTTTCACAACTTCTGTTTATGAAATCTTTGCTATCATTAAGTCACTGCGTCATATTGTATCATTCTAAGATAACAGCAACATTATCGTACTTGAATGATTTTTCAATGCGAATGAAGAATGAATTTTAAGACAGTATCGTTAAAAACAAGCATTCAAAAATAAAAAATTATAGGATTGTTTTAAAAGACTAGTTGGTAGAGGCTCATCATTATCTAAAAAAAATCTTTTTAAAGTGAAATTTTGAAGGAGTATACTAAAGCTGTCCCTGATCCTTCAAATTTTAAAGTTAAGTTATTTTGTAACCTCTTTTTAGATATCCCAAATTCAAATACTTGATTGTTTTCTAAGTGATTTCGGGTGGATTAGAGCGTGGCGGCGGATCGTGATGTAAGGGCATTCACACTTCGATGATCTTGGCAGACACTTTCCCTTGGCGCAATTATTGTTTGCTGCTTTTCGCCGAGGCCCATTTGCTTGCACCGATCTGGGCAACAAAGTCGGAGGGCCTGTTTCACAGTCATGGCCAACAGAGGAGCAGGTGAGTCTCATCGGGCGTGTAATTATTCGGGCGCCATATTTAATGGGCCTCGCGGGGCCCGAAGATTTCAGTTAGGGCAGGGCGTCATGCAAGGCTCGCCACATATGCTAACCACTCCAAGATGCCACCACCTTGGCAAGCAACTAACCACCCACTCCAGTTGTGTGAGAAAGCGCCTCGATTGTTTGCCTAGCTTTGGATGAGCTGATCCGCCGCCCACTTGAGAGACTCTGCCTCGGTTACTTACCCGCACATAATTGGCATTAATGTATTCCGTTTTGTCATCGTCGCCTTGCCGCTGGAGCACCACCCGCGTCTCAGGAAGCGGAATCACGTTGGCGTAGCTGCGGTTCGCAGTTCCAGTTCGAGGTCGAGACGTTGAGTCACCATCGTCAGCGGTGTTGTTATTGGTGAGGGAAAAAAACAGGAAGAGATGTACGAGAGATCAGTATTGTAATTGATTCGACAATTTGAAGCGAACTCGTGCCGAGAAAGCTAACCCGGTTGGGAGAAAACGTCTTAGCTGACAATTTGCCTAAACATATATAATCTAATCTAAAAATCCTTTTTATTTGATTGGATTCATTTAATCGAAACAATTTGTAAATAAATAACAGACATTTTTAAATACAAAATTGTATTAATAATAAAATGGCATGCATTGATCTTTCTAAAATATTCGTAAATACCATTTTTGGAGAATACATTTGGCTTTGTTATGTCTAGCAAGAAAACATTACCACTTAATAATTAACCATTGAACTAGACCTAATCTTATCAAATCACATTCGTGTTATCAAATCATGTAGATTTCATAATTGTGACCCAGCCCTTTAATGTTTAAAGCACACCTGAGCAAAACTGATAAGCATTTTTGAGACGACCGCCAAAATAAAAAAAAAATTATGATTAATTTGACGCATGACTTTAAGTTTGGGGCGTCCACAAAACATTTTTGTAAAATGAATTTCTTAATTTTGAACCTATGTATAATTTTACGAATGCCGTCTAACCGATATTTACAGTATTTAATTTCTGAAAAATAAGTTAAGGACTGAACTTACCGGTTCTTGTCCTCACAGCCAGGCGGCACCTCGTCCGCCCTGGCGATGATCTGTGGCACGTCCCGGAACTCCTCGAAGACGTCGGAGCGTCGCTCCACAAAGCGGGCCAGTTCGCCGGCGGTCAGCAGGTTGTGCCGCAGCGAGGGGTCATCGAAGGCGGCGTTGCCGTAGGTTCGCTTGGAGGCCCTCACATCGCGACCCTTTCGCCTTACGCTGCCCAGCACCGAGACATTGTCCAAGGAGTAGGCATCCAAGCTCACCGGACGGCACCTTTGGCCATAGGACATCTGCTTCTGGCGCTTGCGCATCAAGTAGAGGAATGCCACCAGCAGGATGAGGGCCACCACCCCAATCACGCTGACAGTGATGGCTATGATCACATTGACATCCGTGCCATTGCCCTGCGCATTGGTCTGCATGTGATCCAGTTCGTTGGGATAGGGGCCCAACAAGTTGGGTGGCATTTGGGGGGATTGGGTGGTGGTGGTGGTGGTGGTCTCTGGCAGCATGATGCTGCTGCTGGTGGTGCTGGTGGATGATTCAACATATTCCTCCGTGGGTGGTGCCGCCGTTGTTGTTGTTGTTGTTGTGGTGCTAGTTGTTGTGCTGTCGTCCAGCAGACTTATCACCACCGGCTGCATTGTTGTAGTGGTTAAGGGTGCCACCGTTGTGGTTGTTGTAGTAGTGCTGGTTGTTGTCACTGTCACCGCCATCGTTGTCTTGGCTAACTGCTGCTCTGTGTCCTGTTCGTCGACCACCTGTTGTCCCTCATGATGGTGCGACTCCTTCACGATTTCCTGGCCACCTGTTGCCGCTGTGCTCTCATCCGTTGCAACAGCAACAGCAGCTGCTGCTGCCGATGTCGTCGACTCTGGCGGCGCCTCACCAATGTTGTTGGTTTCTAGCGAGGATTCGTGCTCGTTGCTCAGTTCACTGAGGTCACTGAGCAGACTGCTGGTTGTTGTCGTTGGAGGGGTGGTTTCCACTGTTGTGGCCAAAGCCCCCAGCTCGCTTTCTGTTATGGCCACACTGTTATTGACCGCGTTATCGGTTTTCTCAGCTGTTCTTAGCTCATTCGCATTGCTCAAACTGTCGCGCGTCTTCACTGTCACTGCCTCCAAATTCACTTCATTGCTAATTTGCGCAATTTCCGTTTGCGTGGGTGTAGCTACAGTTGTTGTCGTCGACGTACTTGTACCCGCGATTGTACTGTTCCGCGCACTTGTAACGATGATTTCTGGCCGAATCGATGTGCTCACCTCGCCAGCCACTCGCACACTAACCGATGTTGCTGTTAGCTCGTCGGTTGCTGTTGCCGGCGGGTCGCTCTCTGGATTTTTGGTTGTGGCAACGATGACGTCGTTACTGTTATTATCAACGTCGTCGTCGCTGCTGTTGATGTTGCTGATTTCAGCCGCTTTCATTGCCATTTCAGTAGTACTGGGGGTTGTTACCACATTCGGAGCACTTACAGTTGATGTTGCTGATAGTGTTGCAGTTGTCGTACTTTCAGATGTTGCTTTTGTATCTGCATTGATGGTCGCTGCTGTGGTTGCCTCTGGAGCCACGACTGTTGCTGACGTTGTCGATGATATTGCTGCTGCTGCTGTTGTTGTAATTGTATTTGTTGTTGCTACTGTTGTGGCTTCTTCTAAGTCTAATTTAGAGGATACATGCTGAACAGGTAATGGTACTCCTGATGTTGTACTTGTGATTGTTGCAGATGATACAGTTTCTGTTAAATTCGGCTTAGATTCCGCTGCAATTTCTGTTACATTCAACAGTTCCGTTTTTATTAAATCCACCCTCGCTGTTACAGCCGATGTTGCTTGTTGCTCGGGTAATGTTACTGATGTTGCAGCCTCTTTTTCTACCTCTGACTCTGTTTGAGCCTCTGTAATAGCCTCGGTTAACTTGGCACTAGCTGCATCGGACATCTTTTTGACCAGGGGAACATCCAATAGCTCCGTTCGAGCTGTTGTGGTTGTTACGTTCTGATCAATAGAACTGGCATCAGATGTCACAGGTATTGTCTTTGCAGTTGTGACTTCATTTTGCTCCAATCGTGCGGTTTCTGTTTTACTTTCCTCTGCCAAAGCTTCGGTAGTGGCCTGAGTGGCACCCTCGGTGGCATCTAGAGTGGTTCTGACCACAAATTCGGTGCGGTTCTCCGGCGTCGATTGCATCATGGCAATCTGCTGCCAATCCAGTAGATTCTTCTCCTTGTGATGCTCTGTTCTATTATGGGGTATGTCTATATCGTTTGCCAGATCAGTGTGGTTAAATAGTGGCAAGACAGTGGTGGTTGTAAGCGGTGCTTTGGGTACCGCCTTCATCCCCGCCAGGCTCCAAACTTCAGCGGTGTTTGGTAGCGTTAGTTGCTGGGCATTTGTGGAGTTTTCGCTTATAAACTTGGCTCGCTTCTCCGGTAATTGACGAATCTCTGACTGCGAAGTTGACTCCTCGATTGCATTCTCATTGGATGCAAAGGAAGTTGGCGTAGTTGTTGAGCGAGGAGTGGTTGAAGTGGTGCTGGCAGGTGTAGAGGTCATGGGTAAGGCCCGTAGTTTCATGGGTGTCACTGCGCTTGGGGATCGAATCGAATCTTCAGTGGTTGATAAATACTGCATGGATCGGCCATGATCGGAAGAACGAGTGGTTGTGGTATTAACTACTCTCTCGGTGGTGTTTGAAACTTGTTGAGTTGCAGGATTTGCAGGGATGATCTCGGTGGTGTTTTTTGGATTTTCGGTTTCCTCAGCCTCTGTGATTTTCTCCTTGATTTCAGACTGAGCTTGTGATACAACTTTTGGAAGTGGTTCCTTTACTTCTATTTCCTTTACCTTCGATTTCTCACTTAGAGGTTCAGGTTCAGTAGTTTTTTCTAAAATGTGTTCTTGTACAGAAGTGGCTGTAGCTGCTTTATGAGTCAGATCGGTTAAATTTTTCTCCAGCTGAACCGTAGTAGCTTTGTTAACAGTATCTGCAAAGGCTTTTTCATTCTTAAGCTCCTTTCCCGATTCAGATAGAGAATCTTGTTTTAACTGAGATTCCGTGGCTTCAACCCCTTTCCGTTTGGGTGTTTCTTTTCCCATAATGTTATCAGTACTGGATGGTTTATTTTGAACTGTAGCCTCAGTGGTTTCCTCGACTTTTGGGATTTCTTTCAGACTTTCCGTTTGGGTTTCAGTTTGAGTCTCAGTCTTTATTCCACTCTCCTGATCCTTAAGTCCGGTTTGTGTACTAACCAATTCTGATACTCCCATTATTTCAGACGGTTCCCTGCCGATCGCACTTTCCCTGGCCGTCGCAACAATGTCATGGTCAGTAGAATTGGAAGCCACTGCCTGCGCCAAGCCAGTGGTTTCTCTTTTCGCAATGAAACGTGCCTGCGTTGACATTACGGCCAGGGCGAGCAATAAGCCACCACTAAGCCACCCAACCAAACGCATCGTATGTCGCTCCCTCTCGTTCTACTGCCGTATATCCCTCTCTCTCCTTTGCTGCGTTTCTGTGGGTCAAGATAATTCCACGTTCGACTGGGCCTTAAAATCGCATATACAATTTATGTATGTTTCCAACTTTAAGCTTGAGTTAATGCTGTTCTGTTTTTTCTTGTTTTTTCATTTTTATTTTTAGCAATTTGCACGATTTATTTATTTTGTTATGTTTCTGAAATTTTTGCCTCCATTTTAATAGGAAAAACACCTGCAAGAAAAAGGAATACAAATTAGTTAGCTAGTTTAATTTATTGTTAAATGCCACTGGTTTTCTATGGATATAAGTTCCCCTTAATTGGTCTGCCATTTTTGGAAGGCAGTTCGTTAAAATATTTCGTGGAAAGTGAGTAGCGATTTCCCTTTCTCTAAGTGGGGCTCTCCATAAATCTAATTAATGTCATTATGACACGTTCCGCATTTCCCTTAATACAATGTGTTGGACTCGCAAGTTCAAGGCCAAGTGGCTCGTTTGGTTGTATCAAATATAGCTCACTTATTAGTAAAAAATAGTAGAAGCTTTTTAAATCGAATGCTCTTTAATTTGCAATTATATTAAAAGTTATAAATTACTATAAACTGTTTTAATCTCAAAAGTAAATGGTAAATACATTATTACATTTACCTTTACATTTACCTTAATATATATGTTTCTCAACTTTATCTTTTTATTTCTGAAGTTCAACTTGGCATTTTCGCAAAATAAATAATGTCAAGGAAGCCTGAAAGGTTCATTGTACCAAGTGGCCGAAAATAGTTCACATCAAAGTGTTTACCATCTCCATCTGCACCCACAGCTATAGCGCGAACTCTGAGTTGCGAACCATTCATATAAGCCCAATCGATGTCATGGAACGAAGTGCACAAAGTTCATTCAACCACGGCCTCCACAAACGAACCCATCAAAAGTTGCTCTGGGAGTTGAAGTATTCGAGCCGAACTGCAAACAGAGCCACCCAATAATAACTATGGAGCGGATATATAAAAATATCCAGAGAGAATGCGAGTTTACCGACTTCATTCACCATGGTTATCGCCGCGTTGTTATCTGCCGATCCGAGCGATGTCATGTCAATAGTGCATGCAACCACCTCAAGGTGGAAAAACCCCTCTTCCCCTTTTTCAACCCCCTGGGACATATGCCTACCCCCATGTCAACAATTAGCACTAAAAGCCCCAGTTCGGTGGTTGGCTGTTATTAATGACGTTACCCTCAAGGTGGTGCGATATTTAGGTGTGGCGCCCCTGTCTCGTTTCCCCCGTTTTAAAAGGGGCTTTAACCCAGAGGGTTACCCTCTTGAATAGTGCTACTTTCTCGTTAAAATACTTGAAATTCCACAGTTTATTTTAGGGCTACAGCTTTGCACTTCCATTCAGCTGCCTTTTTGCCATGCGCCCGCTGACTAATAGCGCTAAAAATATAGATATTTATGCCCATGTGTGCCTACAGATAAGATTTGCTTGAGCCTGACGAGGAAAAAATCACAGCAAGGTATTTTGTAATTTTTTTTATATTTTTGAATGTCAACGCTGCTGCTGATAAACAGGCAGGGTAAATTGTTATCCGTTGCTGTTACTGGAAGCCCGCTGTGGGTTGTTAAAGGGCATAACGAAAGCCACTGATCTTAAAAATCAAAATCTGATAAAAAAACAATAAGATCAGTCTATTATTATAAATCTTTTATTTATCTTAAAAAAACAAGGGACTCTATTACTAGAAAATAATCCATGTTATTTGCAAATTTGTATTTGTTAATATGTCTATATATATTAATTATTTGATTTGATTCATTGCAGTTATAATTCCATACATTTTCTAAAATCTGCATTCAAACTTTGCACTGTAATTAAGGGTCGATGCCCTGGGCTATTTCATGAAATTGAAATTAAAAGAAAAGGTTTTGTAGAAAAATTACCTAAAACCAGAACTTTTAATTCCATAACTATTCTTACAGATGTCCCATATTGAAAAGGCATACTTTTATGGGCATGTAGCTTAATTCTCTAACAACAATCTGCGTTAAAATATTGGTTTGTGATGTCGAGTCAATTTTCTTTAAATTTTTTCCAAAAATGGCTTTAAAGAAGAATGACCTAAAACCAGCACCTCAGTTTTATAACTTTTCTTACAGATGTCCTATGTTGAAAAGGCGTACTTTTATGGGCTTGTAGCTCATAAGTCCATAACTTTTCTTTTTTTTTTTAAATATTTACATTCGAAATGTAAACTACCTACACCATTTCTTAATTGTATAAAGCCCAAGGGTATGCAACAATTTTTTGTTTCCTAGTGCCAAAACCGCACATATTTTGCACAATAGCGCACACGGTTACGACCAGTCTCAAAAACTGTTATACTGTTGCTCAGGTGTATTAATCACGAGAAGACCAAAGATAGAACAACCTATTAATATAGTGAGCCACAACCGAGGGCGAGGCAGTGGCAGGAAGACATAGACTGCAACTTGAACCCTCCACTTAACCCAAATGAAAAAAATGTACCTTCGGGCAAAGGGTTCGGATCTGGTCTGGGCTGGAAACGTGACTCGATCTAGGAATCAAGTGCATGGTGGCTTTGGAGATTTAAACAGAGCAGCATTAGAGAAACGAGATCGCTGGGGAGTCGACTCATTTCCGCTTCAGCAGCACGCACTGAGGATGAACGAATGGCTCAGAATTCTTCGACTCGAGATCTCAATGCAACTCGAACTCCAAACTTAAAATACAGCTATAGAGATAACAATCGGATCGAGGATGATCGCGAGAGAATGCTAAACCAGTTTTTGCGGCCCAATAAAGCCGCTTCGATTTCGATTTGCAATTATGATTTCACTTGCATTGCGATCACGATGGTTGTGGAGAATGGCTAGCGATCGCTTGGTATCTTAATGATCCCGCGAGTTGTAGTTGTTGTTGTGGCTTGTGATAATGACAGCCGTCTGGGTAGTCATGACTTGATCTGAGCTGGTGATTGATGGGCATCGGATCGTTAGCTTAAAGAAGAAAGATTTGCTAAGAATTTTCCCAAGTAAACATCAGTTTTTATCCCAATCATCAGACAAATTCGCTAAATCTAATGATGTTTAGAATTGCAACCATTAAATAACCGGAAGGGGATCAACAGATTTTACGAAAAGAATTAATGTGTTTTTTCAGATTAAGATACAAACTCAATATAACTGATAATCTATTACAGCATAAATATTAGCTAAATTATTAAACAGTTTGAAAGATTTCTAAAACCAACAAAATAAGCAGGTCATCACATTTTTTAAAGTGTATATTAGATAAGGAGTTTGGATATGAGTCACTTAGAGATAATATGTTTCGCAGAATTAGGCCAAGTTTCTATCCCAATCCAAACCAACATCTAGCTTAACCCAAAATACGTACTACGCATGCGGACTCACGGCGCAAAATAGAATTCCAAATAATGCCAACAGTTAGCTTACATTATTCTAAAAGCATATAAATGATTTTTTAAGCTGCGTTCTTAGCATTTCTGCGAAAAATACTGAGGATGGCGATGAAGATGGAGATGTTATCAATAATGAATTGCGAGCAGAGCTCTTGCCGCTCTAAAATCAGCCGAGTGTGATGGAGAATGCGAGGCGTCGCACGCTCAAAACGATAACTGTGGCATTAGTGCCATATGTCTATATATATATAGTTTGTTTTTGGTACTTCTTCTTTTGCTTTGATTTTCTGAAATACCGCTATTTATCAGACGTAACTGTTTAGAGAAGTATCCACGGAAGTATCTCATTCGAACGAGTCAATCTTCATTATTCTGTATTTACGAACTTCCCATGCGTATCATAGCTTTATTATACGAAGCAGACTCTTTCCACTCTCCCATCCGAGCTCCGAAATTTGTATCCATTGATGCGGTCTGCCGATGAGTCATTTGCATGTCATTTGCTTATATCACGCCTTAGACAAATTTCTTTGTTTTTGGCGGAAAACCAAAGCCAAAATGAGCAAAACTCTGCCTCGAGCTGAACTTTCAAAGCAATCAAGTTTATAAAAGAAATAGAAACCCGCAATCAAATCGAACTCAATCTGAATGGTCCAAAGCTCAACGGATGTGTGAATAATTAAAAGTATTTAAAATTTTAGAATTTTTTATTGACAGTAACCAAAGGAATTTTTTTTGCCATACCCTAATATATAAAAATATATTTTAAAATACATTCAATTAAAAATCCCATTTTTTAATGTTAAAATAAAACAATCAAGTATTTTGATAATATAAAAGAGATTATCTTATAAATATTAAGCTCATGTAAAACTGATATGTCACATAAGCAAGATAAGAAAGGTGTATTATCAAAAAGTCAGCATTTAAGTAAAAACTACAAAAATACATGACATATTCTTCTCTTTCATATATTTTAAATAATTCTTTTTTGTGTGTACCAAACGATCGCATTTATCAATTTCGACCTTGCTGGCCCTGCCATTGGCGTTTATTGAACCAGGCAGCTGGGGGCAACAACAACATGGCCCGTCCAAATCGCAAATGAGTTCAGGCATGCTGTACATCTGCGTTGAGGAAAAATCGAGATTCCCGTGTACTTGAATGTTTATTAAATCCATTTTTAAAACAGTTTGCCACAACATTATCCCATTTTTAGTTTGCCAAATGTTGATTATGCCACCACATAAGCATTTCATTCGGTACACATAGAATTCCTAATACTTCGAATTGACCAAAGCTAATTCTGACGGCTATGTATGTCTATCCATCACAGACACCCCCCAAAGTCTGGATAAGTGGTTGGAGCACTGCCGATGGGCCCGATAAGGGTATTGGCCACGCAATATGCAAGTTAAGCGAGCGTCGAATATGGCCAAGCAATTGTCCGGTCGGTCGCCGTTGTCTCTGCTTATCTGTATCTGTGCAATTACTGTAATGACAGGCGCATGTGTACGTACTTGGGCTTAGATACACACATGTATGTCAGCCACATAATTGCCCCTAATGCAATTGAACAATTAGGCAAGCGCTGCAACTCAAGCGCAAGCCACAAAACCATGCAAATTCGTCACACAAATGTTTGCACTAAAAGAAACATGTTCCAAGCCAAAAATATTAAATATTTTCGGTTAACATACCTACAGATACATTTGAACTACATTCACTCTATAATATACATATATATTTTAATTACCCATTTTCTTGGAAATTGTCTTCTACAAATTTCAATG